GCGTGTGGACGGTGTGAGGGGACACGGAGGGTCCCGCGTGTGGAGGGTGTGAGCGGACACAGAGGATCCGTGCATGGAGATCGTGTGAGGGGACACGGAGGGTCCCACGTGTGGAGGGTGTGAGGGGACACGGAGGGTCCCGCGTGTGGAGATTGTGTGAGGGGACACAGAGGATCCCATGTGTGGAGATTGTGTGAGGGGACACAGAGGATCCCGTGTGTGGATGGTATGAGGGGACACGGAGGGTCCTGCGTGTGGAGGGTGTGAGGGGACACGGAAGGTCCCCTGTGTGGAAGAAGACACAGAGCGCCCTGCACCCCGAGTCCCCAGGAGAGCAGCTGCCGGGTGCACAGAGGCTCCCGAGGGAGGGCGGCAACGCTCACAGGCCAGAGGGGCACGACGCTGCCAGCCACATCCAAGTGCAGGTGAGACCACAAGATACCAAAGTGCCCCACGTGGCCAAGCATCTGTGCGTGCCAGCACAGGAGCAGAGGGAACGGCCACGTGGCTAAACAAGCAGCAGAACCCAGACTGAGCAAACTTAAACCTTTCCCAAGTGCGGAGAGGAATCGCAGCCTCCCGGGCGGCCGTGCCCTGCTGGCTGAGGTTTCCCTCCCAGCACCCCGGCCGCCGCCCTCACCGGGGACGCTGCCCAGGCCCGGCTGCTCCTCCTTCTCGAGGAAGCCGCCAGGCAAGCAGCAGGTGGGCCAGTGCTGCCCTGGAGACACGGTGTCTCTGTCCAGTCCTGTGGGACAGTCATGAAACCCTCAACTGGACCACGCTCCTCACCCTGCTCCACTGACAGGACAGCCGGAGCCAATTAACAGCAGCAGCCGCCTCTAAAGGGCGCCCGGCGGCTGCAAGACGAAGGGGCTGTCACGGCCGAGGCAATCACCTGAGTGCCAGCCCCGCTGCCCTCCCAGAGCTCACTTTCAATCTCAATATAGTGCCATTTGGAGCAGAAGAAAAAAAGAGTTGTTCTAAAATTAATTACCTTGTCAGTAGCTATTATGATTAAAACGGAGGCCCACATCAATATCATGTGCCTAATTCAGAAAGAGAATTACAACAAGAGCCATAAAAATCAATTTTTTAGGCCTTGAAAATGGTGTTTCTCTCTGTTTTGACAAGTGATCTCATTATGGGACGGAGGCCCGGGGGGAGGGGCTGACTCGGAGTCTCGGCAGCTGCTCCGGGCGAGGGCCTGGGGGGCTGGTCCGCACGTCTCCAGGACAACAGCAACCCCACGACACCGCAGATTAAAGATTTAGGGAGAGTCATGGGTCAAACGTTCCAAATTACATTTCCAATAGCAGGCGCTTCCCTAACTCGGCAGTGGGAACCTTGTGCAGGGCTGTGGGCCCAGGACACCGTGGGAGGCCCCCAGGGGATGGTGCAGGGGCTGGGGGCCGGGACACTGTGGGAGGCCCCGAGGTGACAGGGCAGGAGGCAGGAGAGTGCCATCGGCAGTCCCACTGGGGCCATAAAAAGTATGAGGGTGGCACGGGGCTAGTGCAGCGTGGAAAGCAAGCTGGCCCTGAGGCATTCCTCCTGTCTCCTCCAGGACACCTAACCTGCTAGGAGTTGGTTTTTTTCTTTCTTTCCTTTTTTATGTTTTAATCACTGAGTGATGCTAGCCGAAACCTCTGGCGCTGTGCTTTTAAAGGCATAGGTTGCATACAACTGGGAATCTACTAAGATTGGTTTGTTTCTCTGCGATAGTAGAGGCCACATTTTCTCATCAAACAACTTTACATAAGCAAAAAAATCAACAACACAAAATGACTACTACTGAGACTATTTTAGAGTTAATCACTTAAAAGTTTCCTTAATAATCATAACATCTCATTGCATGGTTGATTGCAAATATATTTAAGCCACTTTAAATAAACTCAT